CAGTTTGAACAGTAGGATAAGACAATAAGACATTCCAAAGCTCTAGATCCAGCTTGTCCACTAGAGCAATTAACAAGGACAGTCTTACAGAGGGGAAGCAGGAGATTGAGAAAAGTGACAGAGTTGATAATAAACCCTGGATTCTGCCTATTTCACAAGAAAATAATGTGCAAAAAAAATTAGCAGCTCTCTTTTTTTGCTTAGGTGACTATAGACAAGATTGACAATGTTACCATCAGAGATGGTATAAAGTGTAGCTCTTTCTTTTCCAGTTCTAAGGATCAACCCCTGGGCCATTCACACGATGCTAGGCAATGCTCTACCCACTGAACTATATCCCCAGCCCCAGGTTTGCATTCATTTGTAGCGAGGCTGCTTTCCAGATGTTAAGTTGTTGATAATTTATCCAAGTTCCCACCACTCACATGGTGATTGAAGAGCAACCTTTTCTGCACTCCAGAGATAGCACAACACAAATATGACCTGTACCAGCGTCATAGGATGCCAGGAAACTGGTCTGAGAAAATGTATTTCTCTTCCTAGCTCCATACCACATGATTCTCTCTCCTGCTCTTGTTTGAATACCAACTACATTCTTCCCATCTCAAGTAGGACTGCAATGTGTTTGTAGCTCATTTCTCCCATGAACTCTTGTAGCCCTACTTGTTAATTAGCTGCTAAAGCTGAACACACACTCTCTATCCAGATCTGACATAGGTGCTATAAAAGACACATAAATATAGAACCAAGTCCCTGTCTTCAAAAATCTTATCAGGTTGGCAAGATAAAATCACAGAAAGATGAAGCCAGGGCTGGGGTTGTGGCTCAGAGGTAGAGCACTCGCCTACCATGCGTGAAGCACTGGGTTCGATCCTCAGCACCACATAAAAATAAAATATTGTATCCAATTATGACTAATACATATATATATATATAAATAAAAGATGGATCTAGAAGATAATCTACTCTTGTGGGTGTTTAGGAAAAAAAACTCAGAGTGGCTAAAATTTTGAGTGTCTGTGTTGTGCTGGGACAAACGTTCATGAATTTTATTAAATTCTCAAGCTAGACTGACTCCATCCCACCACCACAGGAAATGGGTAAAGTTACCAAGAAAGACCATATTGGTATTGGCTGTATAGTAGCTATTTCTCTTTGCTGACACTTCTCACGGTCAATGGCAATCTATCACACTAGGCAATAAGTTAGCACCAAAAAATAGACTGTTATGACTTGAGTATTAGAAGTTCTGTCTTGCCATTTAAGAGTGACTTAGAGAAGCTATTAACTAAAGCACATGAGACTTATTGTGATATTCATAGGCAATGGAAGTCTCCTGCCTGGGAAAAAATTGGGAATAGTGCTGTCCTGAGAAGCTGAGGTTTAGTTTGGAGGGGAGTAATGAATCACAACACATCAGTTTCTCTGTACTAATTGATAATTCTCTTATTCTTGTGCAGCTCAGGTGAACTTTGAGAGTCCTTTCCTGTCCTATAATGCATTGATTCATTGGGTTTGCAGGGGAAGGATTAGAGGTATCACCCTGTCAATCAACTCAGCAACATAAACCTGATATTAAGAGTGCTACTATGTGTTAAGTCCATTTTTTTCCCCGAGTCCCCCTTTTTCCAGCACATCTTGCCCTTTTAATCAGGGCAACACTTGAGGGTGGGCGTCTTGGCAGATGAATTCAGCCGCAGTTTTCAGCCATAGACTGCTAATGAAACCTGTTTCTATTTGTAGGGCTTCCCTGGGGGTAGGCTGGTGTGCTAGTTTTGAGCCTCCTTCAGACTTTGGCTCACTCTATAACACTATAGTGACTCTGTGAAGCCCTCTACTTCCCTGAATGGGCATTTCAAGGGCAGAGTCATGAACAGCAATTTTCGTGGCTGCTCATCATCTTAAATTTTAATCTTGAGAATCAGGTTTTTAGTTTTCTAGATCTTTATGGTCTAATAGCATAGAATATGAACTTCATATTTAATTTTAAATTTTCTAGTAGCCATGGTAAAAAAAAAAATAAAAAGAAATGGGCAAAATTGACTTGAATAATCTATTTTATTTAACCCAATATATTCAAAATATTATAATTTCAACATGTAATAAATATATAAATTATTGAGATATGTTGCTCTTTTTGACACTATCTTTGAAATTTAATGTGTACTTTACACGTTGAATTAGTGTGTGTGCAAATGACCCTTTTATTCTGACATTCATCAATCATACGACGTCACAGAGAATCTCTTTCATCACAGCAAAATTAGTAAAATTACTTTCTAGTGACTAAGCAGCTTCCAGAACTTGCAAAATGATGAAAAGAACTGCATGCACAAACAGGCAGAGAAAGCAGGCCATGATATGAGTGGGCTGGGAGATTTCCATTGCTCAAAAATACAGTCGTGCTGCCTGCCATACGCCTGACACACCTTTCCTTTAAAGGCTTCAACAATTTTTTTTTACATCTGCCAAAATGTGAAAGTAGAAGACTAAGTATTGCTGGGTAGGGGAAAGTGGGATATGTGAGCATAAATGAGACACGGTCCTGGACTTTTAATGAAACTTGTGAACTGGGAGGGAAAACAGTGGTAAAGCAAACAGGGGACAAATGTCCACTGTACATCGAAGATGAAAGCTGCCTAACTCCAGCTCTTAAATGTATGGGAATATTCTTTGGAAAACTCACACACAAATTTCATTGCATTTCTGAGTTAGAAGCATGTGAAATGAATACCCTTCTTGATTTACTTGTTACATTTTCACAGACTTGTTTTCTTTGCTAGCAAAGTAGAATTGACAACCTTTTGAAAATGGAACAGGTGCTTTTCACTAGAACAGATAAAGCTCTGTACTCCTTTGTTGTGGCCAGTTGGGAGGTGTTCTTGATGATGGGGAAGGATAGGGGAGACATTGGCATTAGACTATTGTGCCCAATAACTGGGGGATTGTGCTGAGAGGAGGGGGCGGAAGGAAACATAATGAACCTAAATTGGTCAACTTAAGAGCTTTGCCTTAAATAATACATTGCATATGTTTAAACTCTCTGAGCCAGTAGAGGGCAGTAATAAAGGTCAAGGTTTTGGGAGTCCAGCTCAGCCACCTGTGTGACTTTGAGAACGTGATGTAACTTCTCTGTGCCTGTTTTCTCACAGATTAAAAAAAAAGGGGGGGGGAGAAAAAAAGGTCACTAATAGGATTTCGTGAGATGATATACATAAACAGTTTAAAACAATGAGTGGCACTTGGCACGCACCCAATAAATGCCAGTAATTATTAGTTTTGGCATTATTATCACAGTAATAATTTGTTACCGGTGGTGCATCTCTAATCTGTACCTAAAGCTTCACAAGGCTCTTCTGTCAAGTGATCCAGATAGAAAGTAGGCAAATTCTAATGAGTAATTGCCTCTCTCTGGTGGCAGAACAGGAGCAAACAGATGAAAATGACTTGCTTAAGGGCTCAAAGACTGCTGCTAAAATGTGGAGGGAGACCGTTTAAGGAAGTGGTGATGGAGCCAGACTCTAGGGGGCAAGCATGCAAGGATTTAACTCTCTGTGAGTGACATCTTGGGATGTTACCTGATTTTTCTGAGCCCTCAGTTGTGCACCTGCCAGACAAAGATAATAAAATACACTTAGAGATGGTGAAACTTTCCATGCAAGATGCATGGAAAGCGCACGTGGTCTGGGGCTCGATAAAATAGCCGCTTTTTAATCATTATTATTACTGTTATTAGCAGGTCTTATGCAGCAGCAGGCAGCGCTTGTCTGGGATGCTGTGTTGCGTTTTGGCTCACCACTGTGCCCCAGCTCCTGGCACCTAGTAGACACTCAGGAAACGTTTGTGGAATGAATACACGTCATCTGAGGTAGGGAGCAAAGCCCTTCCTCTCCTTCCAAAACCCAGAGCCCAAGCCATCTCATAGCCTGAGACCTCAAGCACTAGTTGGCAGTGGGCTGAAATCCATTTCGCCCCTTTTGTAGATGCTGGGAGGGCGCCTCGCCTGGACGCGCATCTCTGTGCATGCGCGAGCGGCTCTGTTCAAAGCCCTTATTTTTCTGTTTGCGGTTTATTTACTTAAGCATTTACAGCTTCCAGGAGCAGGGGGTCTGCTAGAAGCAGGCTCAGAAACGAGATTGCTATTTCTATTTATTTTCTGCGTCTCAATCGCTGCGCTGGCAAGTCACAACACGGTTCCTTTATTTGCGCACCAGAGAGGTTTGCGTTCCTTCACCTCCTGCCGGGCGACGAAAGACGCACGCAATTCAGAAAAGTGCTCTCAGGCGACCCGCCTCTCTTCCCGGTTGAGTGGACCGTCCCTTCCAGACTTAGGTTTTTTTGTGTTTTGTTTTTTCAAGAAACACTAGCAGGGCAGAGCAGATTAAGTAAAGACAACCTCGCGCCTTTAATCCTTGACCGCAAACACTGGCGTTTTTGTGCCCCGGATTTCTGAAATTCTTGGCTCAGGGACCCAAAGAGGGGGTAGTGGGGGTGGAACGGTGGACAACAGCTTGTAAAAAAAACAAAACAAAACAAAAAAACTTCCCAAAGCAGAAATTCAAGTCCCTCCCCGCTTCCCGGTCTCCTGTGTCACCTGGATTCAGGGTAAGGGACACAGCCACAGGAGAAAAGTCCCCAGGGGTTGGGAGCGCCCCGGGCTGGGTGTCCTGGGGGATCGCGAGCTGCAAGTCCGGCGGGCCCCGGAGGAGAGCCGACTTTGCAGCGGGCCCGCAGGACGCCCCTCCCCCGTCCCCGCGCGCATCTATTTAGAGCCCAGCCCGGGAGCCCAGGGGATTCTGGTACTTGTAGTTCCTCCCAGGAGCCCTGGGCGCCGGCTCGACCAGGGACTCGGACTACATTGCCCAGGGAGCTTCCCGGCCTATATAAAGCGCCGGGAGCCGCTTCAAAGTGCAGTAACCATGTGGATGTTCTGCTGAAGCGTTTCCTCAAGCTTGCTGGGGTGGGAGGAGTGGAGGAGGAGGTGGTGGTGGAGGAGGTGGAGGCAGGGGGTGGAGAGAGAGAGAGAGAGAGAGAGAGAAAGCGCACGCCGAGAGGAGGTGTGGGTGTTCCGCTTCCATCCTAACGGAACGAGCTCCCTCTTCGCGGACATGGGATTACCTAGCGGCTGCTAACCCCTCTCCTCGTCCTGCTCCCCCAAGTCGGAGTGGCTCCCTGGGCACCAAGGTAGAGGCTGGGGCCGGGCAGAGGGCGCGGGGAGTTGGCATCGGCTCCCCGGGCGCAGAAGTTTTTGCCCCGCTTTCTGGGAGTTCTTGCATGCACTTGGCATGTATGTGGGGGTTCTTTTACTGTCGGCAGTTTATTTGGAGGTCTCCTTTCAGGCTTTACAAAAACCCCAAACAAACCCAGATATCCTCCCTGGACTCCTGTGCCTGGCTTTTGAGGGCTCCCCATTCTGCACCGAAATGGCATTCCCCCAAGTTGGAAACTGTTGGAGCAGCTGCAGGAAATAGTTTTTTTTTTTTTTTTTTTTTGAGGGGGGTTGAGGGGGTGTCATAAGTGAGTCTGCTCAAGGAAGCGATCTTTCTAAAAATGTAGCCCTCGCGCTGCATGGTTAGGAGAATAATGCATGCGTGGGGGCCCCCGCGGGGAGGGTTTTTTTTTTTTTAAAAACGGAAGAAAACTGGGGGAGCGGTGAGGGCAGAAGTCTGGACTGAGCTCCTGCCCTATGAGGATGCGGGTTTCCGATACTTGTCGTCCGCGCGGGGAATCGAGTGCTTTGGGATCTACCAAACACTTGGCTTAGATCCAGCTTCATGCACGTTCGAAGTTTGTGCGTGCCCGGTCTCACTTGTCAGTTATGCCCTGGAAATAAACAAGCGAAGTTACCTGTAATCTTTGCCAGGTGATCCCACCAACCTTTCTGCCAAATTTGGAGGGGAGAGAGTCCTTCCAGAGAAGGGGTCTAAAGAAGGAAAACAGGTGAAATTAGGAGGAGCATTTCTGTTAAGAGACCCAGAGAGTTTCATACTCAGTGGTCTTTCTTTCTAAATATCTAGGCGCTGACTACCGAGAAGCAGGATTCGCATTCCTGGCTGGGCGTACTTTGGTAACAGAGTGCCTGACCCGGGGTCAGGTGAGTGTGGAAGCCTGAGTGCTGTAGTCAATAATGAGTTTTTGTTGTTAATCTGTTTAGTTTTCTCTAAGCAGTCATGGGAGTGGGGAGTAGGAAAGAAAGGTAACTCCATGGCTGGGTCTTCAAAATTTGTCACTGCCTTTACTGAGGGCTTTAGGGAAGCAGAGAGCTGGTGGATAGCCCTGCTTTGCACTATTTATTTATTTGTACTGCTGATTGAACCCAGAGGTGACTTCACTATTGACCCATATCCTCAGTCTTTTCTTTTTATTCTTTGTTTTGAGATGGGGTCTCCCGAAGTTGCTTAGGGTCTTGCTAAGTGGCTGAGACTGGCCTCAAACTTGCAAACCTCCTGCCTCGGCTTCCAAATGGCTGGGATTACAGGCGTGTAAAAGTGAAACAGCATGAAGGCTTTTGAGGGTGTAAAGCATTAAATGGAGCTATAAAGGGGGCAGGGGACACCGCTGACCTGAGAAGCAAGCTGATGTTTTAGATTCTGATGATTGCAGTGTGTTTCATCTGCCAAGATATGTAAGCAAAAATTTAATGCCTCTCTCTTTCAAAAACAGTCACTTTTTTTTTTTGTTAGTGTGAACATGTGTTTAATTAGAGTAGGTTGAATTCCAAGAAATGAAAGTGGTTGCTGGCAAGTTGAAAGAATTAGAACATTAAAATGAGAAGTTAGTTCTTGAAGAATACCCTGACTGAAACTACCTGCATGTCAAGGAATCTGATGTGTCTCTACTGTTTTGGTGCTTCTTGTGGGATAGGAGCCAGGGCAGCGTTTATCTGTAAACACAACAGCTCCTATTTTTTTTCCCCAAAATGGTCAGACTGCACTTCAGGCGAGGGAGGTCTCAACGGGTGCACGTACATCCCCATTGCTGCAGATTTGGCCGACAAAATTTTTTCTTCTGAAATGGTCTAGAGCAGGGTAAACAACAGGGCCATGGGGGTGGGGGGGCAGAGGGCGCCTGGGTCTTGGTAACTTCTTTAACATTCTAAATATTTAGCTGTTCCCTGGGCTACAATCTTTGGGCTTTTCTAATTAGAAAATAAAAGCCAGACGCTTCATTATAGCAGTATAGTGCTTTTGTTTCCTGTTGATAAGATCCTCAGGAGTGCTGGTGGAGTGAGAAGCATTTGGATGTGTAAGGTCTAGTTCATTCTTGGAGTTTAATTGACTCATGACTGTGTGCGAGCTCATAGGGCCAAAGACAAGGTAGAGTTCTTCCCTTCAGAGTGAGGTGCAGACAAGGAGAAACTGGTCCATAGACTGTCCACTACTAGATTGCTAAAATATCAAGACTGGCACTTTACGTTCTTGTAACCTAGATGCACAGCCATATGTCATGTGGCTCATATAGATATATATATCTATATCTATATCTATATCTTTACCTGTACCTTTAAGCCAGGTATGTAAAGAAAAGGTATAGAATGTGAAATTGCTCGGAAGCAACATGTGACCCCAAACATTGGAGCAGTATTGCAGGAGTGGCTGGGTGGGAGTAAACTGCTGTTAATGAAATATTCTTAAGTCATACCGATGATGAGCTAACTATACTTGGTAGAAGGAGGAAATGACATAGTCATAGATGGGGATAAAAGAGTGGATATTTGAGGAGGCCTTTAATAGTGGACAAGTTCATTTGGAAAACTATATGTCGAAAGTCAATCAGAGTACCACACAAAATCACCAGGAACATTGTCCACATTCAGCATTAGGCTTCTCTGAGGTCGATGTGTACCTGAGGTAGACATTTTTTGTTTTTGTGAGGGTGCTGAAATTGAACCTAAGGCCTTTCTCATGCTAGGCAAGTACTGAGCTACATCTCCAACCTTTTTTTTTTTTTTTTTTTTAATAAAAAAAAATTAAATTTAGGTACCGGGAATTGAACTCGGGAGCACTGAACCACTGAGTCATATCCCCAGCCCTTTTTGTATTTTATTTAGAGACAGGGTCTCACTGAGTTGCTAAGTGCCTTGCCATTTTTGAGGCTGGCTTTGAACTCATGATCCTCCTGCCTCAGCCTCCTGAGCTGCTGGAATTACAGGCGTGAGCGGCTCAACCCTTTTTATTTAAAGACAGGATCTCACTAAGTTGCCCAGGCTGGCCTGGAACTTGAAATCCTCCTGCCTTAGCCTCCCTAGTTACTGGGAATACAGAGTGCGCCACTGTGCCCACCTGAACTACATATTGATCATTTACATCAAGGTGTCCACGCAGGTTGAAAGGGTCAGGTGTTTCTCCATGTGGAGAATTTAAGAGTTTAAACCGCATTTAGTCTGATCTGTTAAATACTGGTCATTTCTCATCTACCCTCCAGTTTAGCTCGTCACCGGCTGCGCAGAATATTTCAGTTTTTCATCTCTTTCAAGTGTGCGTATTTGCGCATGTGAGTGTGCACATTGAAAGAACAACTTGTTCTTTGACCAATTCAGTTCAGTACATAAAATCTCATCAAGATTTTCTTTATCTTGCTGGGAAAGATCGTCATGTTCCAGATTAGTCTTCACATCAAGTCCGGTGAAAGTCTTTAAAGCTTGACAATAGTATCATCCATTTGAAATAGAATGGGTGTTTTTTTGGAGGGAGATGGATTTCTATTTTGTTTTTTCTTGGTGCTGGGGAATCGAACCCAGGGCCTCAGGCATAGGCGGGTAAGTGAGTGCTCTACTGTTGCACAAAATCTCCAGCCTGAGTGTCTTCTGTTGAAGACTGAGAGATGGGATGGTTGCTCGGAGGAGAATAGACTAGTTCTACAAGAAAGATCTGTGGCCTTTTCCCTTGAAGTATTTTCAGCTGAGGTAGATCTGGAGGAGAGACCGACTCTGCCTCTGATCCATGGAATACAACCCACTGACTTCCAGAGAAAAAACTCATGTGGCTTTTTAGCTCATTTATGATGAGCTCATGGAAATTCTGATTTTTTTTTTTTTTTTTACATGCAGCTCTTAAAAAACAAACCAAATGAAACAACAAACACCAAATATGAACGACAGGGAAAAAATTTTAAAAGTAGGCCTAAAGTTAGGTTTCTAGGTCAAGCTATCCTTGGATACGTCTAATTAAGGAGTCTACACAAGGCCACTGTCCCATGTCTTTTGCTGTTGGTTTGATCTTTTAAAACATTGCATTTGCAGGGTTTCTATGAACTAAAAGTGCTTTTATTTTTAAATTTTTTTTTTGAGAGAGAGAATTTTAATATTTATTTTTTAGTTTTCGGCGGACCAACATCTTTGTATGTGGTGCTGAGGATTGAACCCGGGCTGCACGCCTGCCAGGCCAGCACGCCACCACTTGAGCCACATCCCCAGCCCTGCTTCGCCCCCCCCCCTTTGCTGTTTTAAGTTTTGCTGTGGCTCTTTTGGTGACACTGTGATTAGGCTTGAAGTTAAAGGCACGAATGACACAATTTTTATGATTCCTTCTAATTGTCACCGTGTCTGTGGTTCCCGGATGATTGCTAATGAGGATCAGCTGAATATACAGCCGTCATCATCATCATCACCGGTTAGACTTTGAGATTCCCAAAACCCGGTAGAGTTTAATGAACTTGGTGTGGCGTTATCTATTTAGCAGATTCAAAAGCCTGTTAAAGTGGTTGGGATTCAAGCATTTTATTTGTTCAGCAGATTTTCTTGTGCATCTGCTATGTGCAAATCCCGTTGTTAGGATAGAGCAGTGAGAAAACAGTCCTGTCCCTAAGAGGTTAAGTTTTAGTTGGGGAGGGGGGAGTCAATTTAAATAAGCAGGTAATCGAGTATGATGGGTTAAGTGCTATGGAGAAAAATAAGAGAGGGTTAGGGGAACAGAAAATAACAAGCGTCAACAAGAATGAGGGGGATGCAAAGTGGCACAGCTTCCATGGAAAGTGGAATGGTGGGTCCTCAAAAAAGCTGAACATAGATCACCATGGAATGTGGCACTTCTACTCATAGGTGTGTATCTAAAAGAATTGAAAACCAGGGAGTTGAGCAGGTATCTGCACACCCTTGTTATCGGGAGTCTTATTCGTAGTAGTCAAAGGTTGGAACAACCCAAGTGTCTCATGATGGATGAGTGGATAAACAAAGTGTGTGTGGGTGCAGTGGAAGATTATTTAACCTTAAAAAAGAAGCAAATTCTGACATGTGCTACAACATGGATGTAACTTAAAGACATGATGATTTGATGAATTCAGCCAGACACACAAGGACCCAGACACATAACTCTATGATCCTGCTTACCTGGGGTACCTAGTAAGGTAGGAATCACAGAGCCAGAATATAGTGTGCTGATTGGGGCAGGGGGTGGGAGCGTTAGAAGGAAGGAGGGAGTTTGTTCAGTGGATACAGAGTTTCAGTTTGGAAAAATGATACAGTTGTGGAAGTGAGTGGCAGTGAGGTGAATGCACCACAGAATTGTGATCCTTAAAAGTGGAAAATTATGTGTGCTTTACCACAATAAAAAATAATAATAGCAACAACACAGGGAATGGTGGGGACAGCTAAGGGAGTACTTAGGTAGGGGTTGAGATCAGAAAGGGCTACTTTGGTGATGTGTGAGCAAGAGATTTGTTGAAGAAGGTCAACCAGTTAGCCGTGGAGCTATCTTGGAAAAAGGATACCTGTTAAGTCTAGGCAGCCTGTGCAAAGGCCCTGCAACAGGAGCAAGTGGGACCTGTTGAAGGCAGTGCAAGGGGGCCAGGGTGAGCACAGCTCAGGGATAGTGACAGGAGTCTGGGTAGGCAGGAGAGTCGAGGTCACCTGGTGAGAGGGCCAGATTCCTCAGGCCACCAGTGATTTCCTGAGGATTTCTAGCCCCTGAGAGAATTCTCAGTGTGGTTTTCAACATGGCTGGATTCCATCATCCTTTCCAAAGAGCCTCTGGAGAGGCCAGCAAGATCCCGTATCAGATGGGAACTCTCTAGGTGGGAAACCCAGACTTCAAGACTGTATGGTTACTCACATGACTTACCTGGGATTGAAATTCAGTTTAGTAGGAAAGGAATCTT